GGAATGAGAAGAGCAACAAAAAAGCTTTAGAACAGTGGAAGCTACAGCAAAAAGGGAACGAGAAGGAAGCCAAGCTGTTGGGAAGTCACCATCTTGGAGGAACAAGAAGAACTCATCACAAGCCCCTACAGAAACTTCTTCTGTGTGTTCAATAAATAAATTGTAGAATTATTGTAAAGTTTCTCAGCTCCGTAGTGTCTCTTATGACATTTGAGCCAACCACATAAAAAGCCTCAGGAGTTCGGGGAGCTTCTTTGCCGTTCAGAGAACGTTGCAGAACCTCAAGAAACCTCGTAGATCTTTAGAAAACTACGTAGAAGTTCAAGGAACTGTGCAGAAGGTCAGGAAATTTTTTAGAAATGCAGCAAATTTTGTAGATGTTTGTTGATCTTTGTAAAACTTCATCAAACTAGAAGAAGCTTAGTGATCTCTAGAGAATTTTATAGAAATAAGAAGAACTTTGTTGAAGTTCTGGGATTTTTCTTTAACGTCAGAGAACTTAGTTAAACTTGTTTGTAGAAATTTAGGGAACATCAACAAATTTAGGAAGCTTTGTAAAAAATCATGAATTTTTATAGCAGTGTGAACTTTTAACAAGTAGGATCACAGTAGGCCACGCTTGAAAGCTGACGTGTTTTTCTTTTGCTGCGTATTTTTCGTAAGCGAATTAAACACATTTTGGCTTTAAATTTGTTAATTTGCGTGCTGAAATTTAGTTGCAAGTGTTCATAAAGTTATCATTTAGAGATATAGCATGTTTTGCCTGTGTTTGCTTTGAGTGGCTCGGTTGAACTTGAATCTAACCTCCAAAATATTGCATTGCATTGCCTCCCGGGAGCCCGGTTTTTCGAGTTCGGATGCTACACTTTCGGCGTGTAGTTCTATTGATAGATCGGTCCGGTTGGTGAATTAGCCCGGGATCGTGGCGAGTTTTGTTGGTGATTTGGTGGCCGACGTTGCCGTGAATCAGCAAGTTTTCTGCTTGCAAAAGTGCTCGGATGCTGGTCTCTCGCCGGTGTCGGAGATTTCGAGCAATATGAAAGATGCCTCGCTGGATACGCCCAAGACTGGACGGGTGGCAGTTGATGGCCGCGAACTGTTCCTGGGGAAAGCACTACGCGCGAACCTCCTCCCAGATGACCAGGACAATGCAAGAAAATTTGTGTTCGTTAAAGGAAGTAGTACGACAAAGGTGCATCACGAAATGAGATGCAAAGCTTAGAGAAAATCAAAATTACGGAACCCATTGAAGGATCAAATTAACATGGTGAGACCAGTCCAAATACATTTAACAAGATTGGGCCCATCGCGAAAAATCTGCTATTTATCAATTTTATGTAGATGAACGCGTCATTGGGACGGTACTAATGGATATTTTTGATCACTATTGAAAATTTAGTCGATTGCTGAATTTATGTATGGGCCCAAATTAGGGACATTTAGGCCGACATTACATCCATTTCCCCTACGTGCCAGGTTTGAAAAGAATATTTTCGAACCTGGAAGCTTGTAGGTATGTAATAACAATATTCACTTGATTATGGTGATGCATACATGCGGGGCTAATTTTAAGTGAAAGTAACCTCAGAATGGAAGTGACTCTCTAGACATTCTGAAATGGGTTGCTGGATCTGCAATAGAGCTATCACTTTCTAACTCCCGGACAAAAGCTGTCTACAATGACCATAAATGCGACATCGTAGAGATAGTTCTTCCATAATAACACTGCCGGCCAGTGGGGGTTAGAGGGAATATACACACACATACACACACAGTGTTAACTTTAAACAAGTTGGGGGATGTTCGCAGAAGGTAATTTCAGGGAACATCATCAAAGTTCGAAGATCTGTTTCTTTGAATTTCAGGGAACTTCGCAGAAAACCAACGTTAAACGCTCAAGCTCAAGGAACTTCCTGGAAGTTTGGGGAACTCTGTTTAATTTCAAGAAACATACCAGATGTTTAGGAATACCGGTAATCCGACCGTTTTTAATCTGAACACTTTTTAATTTGAACCCCGCTAATCTGCACGTCGTGCAAACTAAAAATGACTCAAACGTCATTTCGCTAAAAATAATGGAGTAAAACAAAATGGAACATTGTGAAACGGAACGCAGAATCAAAACAAAACAGCAGATAAGGCTACCAGAAACGCACTTTTCTGATGCTCATAAGGTTACTAAAAGTTCTAAAATTAAAAATGAACCCCGTTAATATGCTTGAAGTGTCGTTCAGATTAGTGGGGGTTCAGGGTATTCTTTGAAATGGTTTAGGTTCTTCCTAAATTCGGAGGAGTTCATTGATATTCTGCGGTCTAGGTAGAATTCAGAGAGTTTGCAAAAATAAGAAACATGTAAGAAGTTCAGGGTAAATTTTCAAAGAGTTAAGAGAAATTTGTAGATGTTCAGGGAACATTGTAAAAGCTACAGGAAATTGGTACAAGTTCAGCAAATTCGGTTGAAATTCAGTGAACTTTCTAGAAGTTTGGGATACCTTGTATGAGCCATGGGAAAATCGTATTATTTCAGCGAGCTTCGTAGCAGTTTATGGAACTTTTTGTTGGCCTTTGTTGTTCCCTTATTTCAATTTTATTCTTTCTTCGCCAAATTTAATTCAATGCAAGGCTAATCACTTAGAAAAACTCATGTAAATTTAGGTGCTCTGAGACTGACATATACGAGCGAAAATTTTGACATAAAATTGAGTCATAAGAGACGCGAATTCAGCTCAATCAAACGTACTTTTTGTCGAGTAACGAACTTTTCAGTCTCGGAGCACTTAATTTTACATGACATGTTTGTTTACGTCTCATCCTTTATGTCAAAGATGACTTCCGTCACGTGTAAAATTAGGTATTTCTAAGTATGCTCTTGCCATATAGGGAACCCAAAATTTGATTTCGATTTGCTATCATTTTTATGCTGGATCTTTCCCTATTGAACTGCCCACGTGGTTTGTGGACCGCTGCTGATACCTGTAGTCAATTTTGTTATGAAACTTGTAGGTGTCTCAATGGACGCACTTCCACGTAAAAACAATCATTCCCCTTAAGGTGATTCCTTGTAGAGTCCACAAATGGCCGTAGGCTATACAATAGTATACATGCACTTCCATTTCAAAATTTCAATTACACAAATCTCGGAAGTCGATGTCCCATTTCACCTGAAATTGCTACTTCATGCACGCTGCAGTGCAGCAAACGTGGAGTAACAATTTAAATGTTGCACGTGCAGTAGAAGCGGATATTTGTGCACTCAAAGTTTCGAAGTGGCTCCGAGAGTAAAGATGTCACAGCGATTCACCTTAATGGAATCCAAAATTATTCACGACACCCAATGAATTCGGTGACAAAGCTCTCTTCTCTCGTCATCAAATGGGGCGATATCAAATTCAAATTCGCGAATCAAATCAAATCGATACGGTTCCGTCTGCCACTCCATATACAATCAACTATGCATGAAGCGAAGATTTCCCCGTTTTCCTTCGTTCCGGGCCATCCATCGGTTCCACGAATCATCAAAGCACCAAATTCAAATGTTTATTCTCCACCATCGTTGTTGTCGTCGTCGTCGTCGTCGTCGTCGTCGTCGTCGTCATCTGTTGCGACTGCCCACCTCTCGAAATTTCGCTGCGACGGAAGCTTATCATCTTCCGCCGGAATGCTTTTGGCCACGTCCCCGTGTCGAGATGCCAATTTGCGATGAGTTCCGAGGTCCTTCTTCCTATTCGTTTCTTAACCGTGGTCGTCTCGAAGCTAATGTTGGATAGCAGCCGGAGCTGAAAAATCAATCGACACTCCCCTCTCCTCTAAAGTCAAAAAGCGTCGTTAGTTGAATTTCAAATGTGATGAAATTTCCCGGATCGATTTCTCCATGCTGATGATGATGATTATGAGGATGATAATGCCGTCGCCTAGAGGTGGATTCTAATTTTGGCAGGCGCGTGTCATATGCATACTTAAATAAACGAAGGATGGGTCGCTTCGCCACCGGCAGGGTATTCGGTTTCATTAGGCTTTGTTTTGGTAATGACGAAATCGGATTACGGTGGAGGCTAATTTCGGAAGCTTTTGTTCGGGAGAATACGCCGAAGGAGCCTCGGGCATGGAATATTAAGGACCAACATTATCACGAAAAGCTAGACGGGTTTGACAGCTTCTGTCAAACCCGACTGGTTTTCTGATTATTTTTTGGTGCTTACGAGAAGCTAATTCATTCCATTCATCCGAGCAATTATTGTCTCCAAAGTATGCCTCTGCAGGATTGGCCTTGACGGCACCGTTGAAAAATCGGCGCTTCAAGCACATATTGATCGTTTATTACGGGATTTTTCGGTGGAGTGAAAGGATAGTACGAAGTCCACCATGTTTCACGCACAGTTTGACGATTGCTTATGGATTTTTCCATAGGAGTAAAGCGCTATCCTACAGAGTCGCCGTCACCACCAATCAGCATTGGCTGAAAGTTCTCTTTAATTTGCCCTGATTTTGTACACAAAGATTCAAACGTCAATTTATCGAAACTCTTAGCTCACAAACTAACACCACTATCTTGTAGAGAAATATTACCCTTACTGATGGTGGTGTAAGTTTGAGTGGGAGAGCTAAGAGTTTCGATAAATTGACGTTTAAATCTTTGTTTGCAAAAGCAGATACGTTCTTTTGAAAAATCATCCTTGCCATCATTTACAGTATCCCTGTGCTAATCCGACAAAATCATGACCAGACCATCGGGGTTTAACTCGTTAATCCGACTGTCAAATGCATACTAAAAAATCAAAACAGACAGACAGCATGCTTACAGCATAAATCTGAAAATTGACAGCACAATTTATTCAAACGCGTGTTGTACTATTTAATCCGGCATTTTCCGGATTAACGGGGTCTGTATTATCAATGTAAGTCAATGCAAAGTTTCCTTCCATAACTCGATATACGAATCTCGATAGCCTTTTCAACATTGTTTTAAGAAGAATTGACCACGATTTAGTCTGTAAACCTACCGTTTTTGTAATTGCTGCAATCCAGTCGCTGAAACGAGATGGAAAATTAAATCATGATTAGAAACGCGAAACACAAATATATTGATTTGGGGTAAGCTAAGTCGCAGCTCAGACATCTTGCTAGCGTCGAGAACGTAAACAATCACCCTAATTCCGGGAAACTAAATATCTTGAAATTCAATAAAAAGAAAGTCTTCAGTTGTAGCACAAACGAAGTGACAGACGAGCGGCTCGAAAACTTTGGTGACGAACCTGCTATTGCAATTTTTCAGTGTTCCATATGGCATTGGATTGTACTAGCATTTCCACCAAATGTACTAGAATGTTTTGGTACTATCTCTTTCACTCTACTCAAAACTGAAATGCATAAAAAATATTACAAATGTATACACTCTTTGCACACTGTCAAAGATCATTGCACACAAAATCAACTTTGTTCAAATCAAAACAAAAATACTAGCCCATCTGGTGGCTGATGGCACAAGCTTCTAAGATAATTCTATTACAGCGACCACATTATTTTAATTGATTTCTTTGCCAGTTAGTTACTTCATTAGTGGTTGTAGCAGATTCGAATTCACTGAATATCAAATAGCAAGTTTTCCCGTGAATTATTATGAAAAAAGGCTAGGATGATGAGAATAAAAAGTTCATTTTCCCCATAGCAATTCCTATATGAACTGCAAAGGGAGAATGATCAGAACGTGATTTAGAATCGATTGAGCACCCCGCTCAAAAAAAAAATCGATAAATTGAACCACCCTAGTACCATAGAGGTAACTCTAAGACCAGAAGGTCCCGAAGAAACGTGATCAACTTTTTGTTTCAACCCTGGTATTCTCTTCGGTCCCAAGCTAATCGATGCACCCCTCGAACCATAGGAAAATCCAGGAGCCGCTCATTTTATCTGTCAAACTTTCATAGCGAATCAAAACAAACATTGTGTAGTACTAGAATTTTGACTAGAATGGGGTACGTTAATCGATTTCGAATCGACGCCAATTTAAAATCGTTAGTTTCCACCGTACCAAGTACCATTTCTCAATTTCTTATTCCCAAGTCCCAATCCGATTTCCCAATATAAATTCTCAATTCCCAATTCCACGTTGAAATTTGAAACGTTGAATTCATAAGCTTTAATCTTTCAAGCTTTGAATGGTGAAGTTTTACGCTTTGATTCCCAATTCCCAGTTCTAAATTTCCCAATTCCCAGATTCCAATCCCCCATTTCTAATTTAGAATCCCCAATTCCTAGTTCCGAGCTCCCAATTCTCAGTTCCCTGTTCCCAGATCCAGTTCCAGCATCCCAATTACCAATTCAGCGTTGACATTGGAAGCTTTGATTTAGAAGTTTTTAATTTAGAGGTTTTGAAGCTTCGAATGTTGAAATTTTAAGCTTTGTTTCTTAATTCTCAATTCGCAACTCCCAATTTTTACTCCTAATAAATTTTCCTAATTTATTATTCTTATTTCCCAATTCCTATCTTTCTAATTCTCAATTCTATTCCCAATTCCCTAGTCCCAATTCTCAATTCAGATTTCCTATTCCTCAATTCCCATTTCGTCATTCTCAATTCACAACTGCTATTTTGAAAATTTAAAATTCAAAAATTCCAATCCAATTTTCTAATTTCAAATTCCCATTTCAGCGTTAACATTTGAAGCTTTGAATGGTAAAATTGTATGCATTGCTTCGCAATTCCCAATTCCCAACTCCCTTTTCAGAATTCCGTTTCCCAATTCCCAGTTTCCAATGCTAAATTTCTTATTTTGAATTCTTAATTCCTAAGTCCTAATTCTTATTCCCAATGCTCAGTTCCCTTTTCACACATTCTGTTCCAAGATCTCAATTACCGAGCTTTGAATTAAGACGTTTTAAATTTAGAGGATTTTAATTTTGAAGCTTTGATTCTAAATTCTAAATTCTCAATTCCCATTTCCCAATTCCTAGATCCTAATTTCTAATCCCATATTCTCTATCCCAAATTCCCAATGCCCAATTCCCAATGTCCAATTTACAATTCCTTATTCCCAATTCTCAATTCAGCGATTAAAAAGGAATGAATGTAGAAGCTTCTAATCTCGATCGAAGCTAATCGTGTTGAAATTTTCAGTTTTGATCCCCAATTCCTAATTCTCAAATTCCATTTGACAACTAACAAGTACCAATTCCCAATACCCAATTCCCAAATCTCAACTTTCACTTCCCAATCTCGTTTCCTGATTTTGAATTCCCAATTCTCAATGTTGAATTCCCAATTCCCTTTTGCTGATTCTCAATTTACAATTCCCATTTTCCATTTCCCAATTCTCAATTTCCATTTTGCAATTCCCAAGTTACAACTACTAATTAAAAAATTTCCAATTCCGAAATCCTGACCCATTTTTCCAATTACAAATTCCCATTTCAGCGTTGGAATTTGAAAATTAGAATAGTGAATTGTACACTTTGATTCGCAATTCTCAACCTCCACTTCAAAATTCTCTTTCCCAATTCCTAGTTTCCAGTTTCCAATCCCCAAATTTAAATTTTTAATTCTCAATTCCTAATATCAAATTCTTATTGCCAATTCTCAGTCACTTTTTCTCATATCTAGTTCCATGTTCTCAATTACCAACATTTGAATTTAAGCTTTGAATGTTAAAATTTTAAACTTTGCTTTTAATGTCTCAATTCCCATTTCCCAAATCCCAATTCACAATTTCCTAAACAAAAATCCCAATTCACAACTCCTAATTTCCAATTCTCAATTCAGCGATCAAATTGGAAGCTTTGAATTCAGATGCTTCTTATCATAATTGAAGCAAACCGTGTAGAAATTTGAAGTTTTTATTCCCATTTCTCATTTCTCAAACTCCATTTCTTAATTAACAAGTACCAATTTCCAATAACCAATCACCAAATCTCATATATCAAACTTCAATTCCCAATCCCATTTCTTGATTTTAAATTCTCAATTCCCATTTCCCAATTCCTAGATCCTTATTCCTAATCCCCTATTCCCTATTCCCAATTCCCAATGCCAAATTTCCAATTCCTCAATCCCAATTCTCAATTCAGCAATTAAAAAGGAAGCGTTGAATTCAGAAGGGTCTAATCTTAATTGAAGCTAAGCGTGTTGAAATTTTAAGTTTTGATTTCCAATTCTCAATTCCCAAATTCCATTTCACAATTAACAAGTACCAATTCCCAAATCTCATACATCAACTTTCACTTTCCAATCACATTTCCTGATTCTTAATTCCCAATTCCCAATTTCGAATTCCCAATCCCCTATTCCCGATTCTCAATTCACAATTCCCATTTTCCATTTCCCAATTCTCAATTTCCTTTTTGCAATGCTCAAGTTATAACTACTAATTAAAAAATTCCCAATTCCGAAATCCCATTTTTCCAATTTCAAATTGCCATTTCACTGTTGAAATTTGAAGATTTGAATGGTGAATTGTACGCTTTGATTCGTGATTTCCAATTCTAAATTCCTAACCCCTATTTCGAAATTCCCTTTCCCAATTCCTAGTTCCCAGTTTCCAATCCCCAATTTTTAATTTTTAATTCTCAATTCTTAGTTTCAAATCCTTATTCCCAATTCTGGGTTTCCTTTTCTCACATCCAGTTCCATGATCTCAATTACCAACATTTGAATTTAAAAGTTTTTAATTTAGAGCTTTGAATGTTAAAATTTTAAGCTTTGATTCTGAATTCTCAATTCCCATTTTCCAATTCCTAAGTCTTAATTCCTAATTCCCTATTCCCAAATCCCAGTTCACAATTTCCTAACCCAGGATACCAATTCCCAACTCCTTATTCCCAATTCTCAATTCAGCGATCAAATCGGAAGCTTTGAATTTAGAAGCTTCTAATCTTATTTAAAGCAAAGTGTGTTGAAATTTTAAGTTTTGATTCCCATTTCTCATCTTCCAAATCCCATTTCTTAATTGAAAAGTAGCAATTCCCAATAAACAATTCTCAAATCTCATATACCAAACTTCAATTCCCAATCCCATTTCTTGATTCTTAATTCCTAATTCCCTATTCACGATTCTCAATTCCCAATTCCCATTTGCCATTTTCCATTTCTCAATTCTCAATTCTCATTTCGAAATTCCCAAGTCACAACGTTTAAATAAAGAATTCAAATTCTCAAATTGCATTCCAATTTTCCAATTTCAAATTCCCGTTTCATCGTTGAAATTTGAAGATTTTATTTGTGGAATTGTACGCTTTGATTCGTAATTCCTAACTCTAAATTCCCAGCTCCCATTTCAAAATTCTCTTTCCCAATTTCCAGTTTCCAATTCCCCATTTATAATTTTGTAGTCTCAATTTATTATTCCTAATTCATATTCCCAATTTTACGTTCCCTTTTCTCACATCCAGTTCCAAGATCTCAATTACCAAGCATTGAATTTAGAAGTTTTTAATTGAGAGGTTTTTAATTTTGAAGCTTCCTGAATCCTAATTCTTTATTAGGGGCTGTTCATAAACTACGTAGACAGTTTAGGGGGGGAGGGTTGACAATTATCCACGGCCCATACAAATTTTAAAAATTTTGTATGGGCAATTATCTACGCAGGGGGAGGGGGGGGTCAAGAATCCCAAAAAAACTGTCTACGTAGCTTATGAACAGCCCCTTATCTATTACTAAATCCAAATTCACAATTGCCTGACCAAAAATCCCAATTCCCAATACACCAATTTTCAATTCCTAATTCCAAATTCTCAATTCAGCGATTAAATTGGAAGCTTTGAATTTAGAAGCTTCCAATCTTGATTGAAGCTCAGCGCGATGAAATTTTGAATTTTGATTCTAATTCTTAATTTACAAATTCCATTTATCATTTAATAATTGCCAACTCACAATATCCAATTCCCAAATCTCATTTATCATATTTCAATTCCCAATCCCATTTCCTCATTCCCAATTCTTTACTCCCAATTTCGGTTTTCCCTTTCCCTATTCTCACTACTCAAACCCCATTTTTAATTGCCCATTTACCGAATTTAATTTCCCATTTCGAAATTCC